GAGGGAGGCAGAGACACAGGAGAGGGAGAAGCAGGCTCCATGCAGGGAGCCTGACGTGGGACTGAATCCCTGGTCTCCAGGATCTGTCCCCAGACTGAAGGCGGCGCTAAACCGCTAAGCTTACCGGGGCTGCCCCTAATACCTAAATATTGATTGAATTTCGAAGTAGATGTCAATTCATGAAGTTTTATAATACAGGATTTTGAATATGAATATTTATAAATATAGCAGTTAAAATAAATTGATAGTTATACTGTTCTGTAAGTGCATGAAAACATCATATATGATAACTTATATAATAATATAAAATATAGCACAGGACTCTTAGATTATATTATAATAGTTTTAGATTTATAGAATTATTTGAGAATAGTTTTAGATTTTTAGAATTATTGCAGGGCAGCCCCGGTGGCTCAGAGGTTTAGCATCGCCTTCAGTCCAGGGCGTGATCCCAGAGACCCGGGATTGAGTCCCACGTCGGGCTCCCTGCATGGAGCCTACTTCTCCCTCTGCCTGGGTCTCTGCCTCTCTCTCTCTCTGTGTCCCTATGAATAAATAAATAAAATCTTAAAAAAAAAAAGAATTATTGCAGATAGTGCAGAGATTCCTGTATATCCCCTGCCAGTTTCTCCTATTATTAACATATGCATTAGTATGGTACGTTTGTCACAACTCATGAACTAGTATTCATACGTACTAATCTGTGTTCAAATTCCATCAGTTTTCTCCTAATGAACTTTTTCTGTTCTTAGATACCAAATTAGATTTAGTGTCATGTGCCATCTTGGTTTTGACTGGTTCTCAGACTTTGATTTTGATTCAGGTTGATAGTTTTGAGAATTACTGGTTGGGTACTTTGTAAACTTTCCCTTAATTGAGATTTATCTGATGCTATTTTTAGGATTACACTGGGTAATGTGTTTTGGGGAGGAAAACCCACAGAGGTAAAGGGACATATTCATCATCCATAAAGAGTGAATACTCAGAGTGCCTTACCACTGTTGCTGTTAACCTTGGTCACCTAGCTTGAGATAGGGTTTATCAGGTTTGTCCTCTATAAAGTTACTCCTCCCCCCACTTTTGCATATTGTACTTTCTAGAAGAAAGGCACTATTATATGAAGTACATGGTTAATAAGTAGTTGTATTCTCTATCTCCGTAATAGTGGAGTTTATGTGTGAATTTTTTGGAATTCTTCTGCAAGGGAAATTCATCTTCTTCATTTATTAACTGAGTCAATCATTTTTATTTTTTTAAAAAAATATTTATTTATTCATGAGAGACACAGAGAGAAAGAGGCAGAGACACAGGCAGAGGGAGAAGCAGGGTCCATGCAGGGAGCCTGACATAGGACTTTCTTCTGGGGCTCCAGGATCACGCCCCGGGCCAAAGGCGGGCGCTAAACTGCTGAGCCACCCAGTTGTCCCTAATTTGTTTATATAAATATTGACTCCTGGGTATTTACTTTACACTTTGACTTATAATCCAGTACAACTTTTTTTTTTTTTTTCCACAGATTGCTTCAGCTTTGGCCATTGGGAGCTCTTTCAGTTGGTTTTTATATTCCTTTGACATATCCGCATCATTGTTAGGATTTTGTTGTTTGGTTTGTTGGTGGGGTTTGTTTTTGTTTTTGTTTCTATTTTAGCACATCTTTTACTTTCTGGCACTATAAGATGTTCCAGGCTCATCTATATTTCCTGCCCCAGCCCTAGAATCAGCCATTTCTCCAAGGAGTGCTGGTTCCCTTTATTGGAGAATGGTATAAGAAACCAATATCTGGGAACTGTGTGTGCTCATTCTTGTTGCCGTTGCTTCTAAAAAGTATACACCAACTCATGTAAATGCATATATTTATAAATATTTTATATGTAACAATCTGTATCTATGTTTAAGCTGTATTCTTAGATTATTTACTCTGAACTTTTTTCCACTGAAAAATATTACCTGTGAACATTGAGGGGCTTATTTTATATAGTTTTGGAATTTAGGAACAGAATTAAAGTACTCCAATTCTTTTGGTTCTTGGTTGGCCTTACTGCTAATATTCTGGAACTCAACTAGTCATCTATGAAGAATGAGGCTGCAATACATTAAATAATTGAGATTTTATTTACACCCAGTTTTCTTTTCAGAGATTAGTTTTGAGAATCCTACCATTTTACTTCTCATTAGTTTCTCTGTAACACAATCTGAATGGGGAAAATAAGACTTTTAATTTTATTACTTGATTAAAAATTAGTAATGATGGTAGAGATGGGAATAGTTGAATATTGATTTTTTTTAAGTTTATTAATTTTTTTTTAGTAATCTTTACACCCAGGATGGGGCTTGAACTCATGACCCCAATGAACAGTTGCATGCTCTTCCAAATAAGCCAGCCAGGCACCCCTGAATATTGATTTTTAAATTGTTTCCCATTATTACATGTAATTGAGAATTAACTATATTTTGTCAAAGCTTTCTGTTTTTGAATTATCTAGACTGATATGTTTATCCTTTAGTGTTAGACTTCTAGTCTTTCACTCATTGGCATCATGAAAACTAAATGCAGTGTTTCTTTTCTGGTATCCACAAAATCTTTTGTTTCTACTTCCAGTATCCTGACAAATCTAGTATAGTACCTTCTGGCTTCTCTTTCTTGGTTCCTAGGAAGAATCTAAATGCATTTAAGTATTGTAGGGTATAGAATTCTCCCTAATTAAATTCCAGTTAAAGTTCTTATGTAATTTCCCTCTGCATAGATCTAGTTTATTCAGTTTATGGAAATTAAAATGTGATTTTAATAATAAAATCAAAAACAACCCCAAACAGTTGGATGAATTATAAACTTTAGGTGATATTATTTATGCACTTTTTACAAATACTAATTAATAATTAACTTTATAGGTCATTTGTTCTTACACTCATTAGTTAATGAGTACCTCTGGCTGATTTATAGAAGTAGAGCCCCAGAGATGACTTGAGGCATTTTTGGCCTGCAGTACAAGTTGGCTTATGAGACCTGAGCATTAATGATAGTTTTGTAATAGTGATTTATCATTCTGTTTCGAAAAGTTTTATTTATTTTATTTTTTCATTTGAGAGAGAGAAAGGGTGCAAGGGGGGGCAGAGAAAGGGGGAAATAGAGGTTCCCCACCGAGCAGGGAGCCTGAAGACACAGGGCTCCATCCCGGGACCCTAGGATCATGACCGGAGTGGAAGGCAGATGCTTAACCGACCAAATCATCCAGGCGCCCCTTTTTTGAAAACAGTTTTTAAAGATAACTGGGATCCCTGGGTGGCGCAGTGGTTTGGCGCCTGTCTTTGGCCCGGGGCGCGATCCTGGAGACCCGGGATCGAATCCCACGTCAGGCTCCCGGTGCATGGAGCCTGCTTCTCCCTCTGCCTGTGTCTCTGCCTCTATCTCTCTCTCTCTGTACTGTCATAAATAAATAAAAAAAAATTTAAAGATAACTGAATTTATGTAAAGATCAAAAAACACACTACTGGGCACCTAGGTGGCTCAGTGGTTGAGCGTCTGCCTTTGGTTCAGGTCATGATCTCGAGGTCCTGGGATCAAGTCCCACAGGGAGCCTGCTTCTCCCTCTGGGACTCTCCGTGTCTCTGCCTCTCCGTGTCTCTCATGAATAAATACATCCATAAAAAAAAATACTACTTAAAAAGTACAAGTTACAAGTCATTAACTTTTTAAATCTTTTTGTTCCTGTGTATATTAGTTATGAAAGTTGTGAACAAACTTCAAAAAAAATGTGAAGAAGGTCAGAGCATTTCAAGAATATGATTAAAACACAGATTTAGTACCTATCTTTGTAATTCTCAGAAATTTGATTTCCTGTTTCCCCTATATGCCTGGGGTTATTTGGCCTTTTCTTGAGCTGAATGATAATGATATATTTTCCTATTTGGTGCTGCTGATAAACACAAGGGAGCGGATAACAACTTCTATTTCTTATAAGAAAGTAGAAGACAGCAAAAGTGAATTGCCTTAACTTTCTTCTGTTTTCCATTCCACTCTACTATCTCCAGGGTTTCCTTCCTTCTCTCATTCTTCCCTCAGTGGAAGAGATTTCCTCCTTTTATCTGAGGGCAATTCTTCTGCCTTTATTCAGAATTTCTTCCTGTTTTTAAAAAACTTTAATTTTGATCTCATTTTAGACTTGCAAAAATAGTATAGTTTCTTTATATTCTTCATCTAACTTTACTGAATGCTAGCATTCTACATGACTATAATTATCAAGAATAGGTAACTAACGTTGTAATATTACTAACTAAACTACAGACCTTATTAGACTTTCACCAAATTTTCTACTGCCCTTTTTTCTGTTCCAGGATCCTACCTAGGAAACATGACATTTTTAAAGAGTATGGATTATTTTGTGGAATATACATGTTTGTGTTAGTCCAATATTTTCTCATGATAGGACTGAGCTTATGCATTTTTGGCAAGTATATCAGAAAAACAAAGTAGTGTCCTTCTCAGTGCAGTGTTTCAAGGGAATTATGATGTTTTGTGATTACTTGGTTAAGTTAGATCTGTTGAGTTTCTTCACGATGAACTGTAAGTTCCTTCATTTTATTATCTTTCCCTTTTCAGTTCATAAGTACCTTGTGAGTGATACTTGGAAATTAAGTAAATCTTGTTTCTCCTCAAACTTTTGCCCTCTAATCTTTGCATCTATCAGTGGATCTTATCTGCAACATTTATTACTGTGATATTTGCCATATGGTGATTCGGTTTTCCTCTTTTCTGTTTATTAATTGAAATTCTCTTGTATGAAGTATTGTCTCTTTATCCTTGTTTACTTATTTATTTGGCTATTTATTTATATCAGTATGGACTCCTTTGTTTTAATCTATGGATCTAAATCCAGTAATATTATTTATTTTGTTGCTCATTTTATTCCAGAATTGGCCATTAGGGAATCCTTCAGGTTGGCTCCTGTGTTCTTTTGATAGACTCTCATGTTTTGTTTTATTTTGTTTTTTTAACTTCTTACTTTCTGACACCAGAAGTAGCTTCAGGCTCATCGTGTATTTTCTCTGCCCCAGCCTTAGAATCAACCACTTCTCCCAAAGAACTGGGGTTCCTTTATTGGAGAATGGTGTTTAGAGACCAAGATCCAAGCACCAGGTATACTCATTGTTGCTGGGTATCAGTCTTTCTAGGCCTTCTTATTGATTAAAGCCTGGAAACCTATAGCACACACTACACAAACATACATGCATGCTAACACACACATACGCACATTAAAAACCATGAGTTTATACTTATAACTTCAATTCCAGTCCAACACCACAAGGTTCATTTTAGCATTTCTCTCTTCTTTGTTTATAACTTTTCTCCAACAGTGAGAAACCTAGCTCTCAGTATCTATGTTCTTTTTACTTATTTGTTCAATTTTTTTTTTTAAGGGGAAGAGAGAGAAAGAGAGATTGGTGGGGAAAGAGAATCCTGAGTCTCAAGCAGGCCCCTTGCCCAGCAAAGAGCCCAACATGAGGCTCAATCTCACAACCCCAAGATCACAACCTGAGCCAAAATCAAGAGTCAGATGCTGAACCAACTAAGCCACCCAGACACTCCTTATTTGTTCAGTTCTAGTATACACATAATATCAGAATTATTAACCTATAGTCTTGTGAGAAACCAGATTACTCACTAGATTAACGGCATTTAAGTATGATTGTTTTTGCCTTTAGCCTAAAGGTATCTAGTCAAGATACTCTTTTCTCCTTCCCTGGCTCCTCCCTTTCTCTTTACCCCTTACATCTTCCCTTCCCATAGTTATTCATTTATACTACTGTTAGGTTCATTTGTTGGTGTGTTTATACTATTTTGAGTTCCCTTCAAATCCTGGTTGGTTTTAATTATTTTTTTAATGATGGGTATGTGAAATTATTACTATGGTCCTAAGAATGAGAATTATTTGCAAATATGTATTCAGAGAAGTGTCATTCCCTCCTTATCCCTGGTACATATTTCCATTTCCTACTTTATTTCACTCCTTTCCTACTTAATCCCTATAGGAAACCTATCTCCTTAGTGTTTGGTCTATCCTTGTATTTCTTTTGTTCTAATGAGCAGAAACGTGTACTTTAATATATCCCTTTGTTATTACATGAACTAAGAACAAAAGAGTTATATGAAGTATTTTTGGATTTTACTTTTTTCACTTAACAAAATGTCCTGAAAATCACTGCATATCATAGAGATCTTCCTAATTTTTTTTTTACAGTTGCATAGTACTCCACTCTTTGGATGTACCGTAGTTTATTTGATCATTTTCCTATGTACAGGCATTTAGGGTGTTTTCCAACATTTTACATTTATGAAGAATAATGTTTATGTATTTTTGTATTGTTGGAGGTATATTTGCAGTGCACATTCCTAGAAATGAGATTACTGGGTCCAACAATAAATCCATATATGATATTCTTAGGCATCACCAAAATTCCCTCCAGGATGTTTGTACCAATATGTATTCCTTTTTTTTTTTAATATTTTTTTTAATTTTTTATTTATGATAGTCACAGAGAGAGAGAGAGAGAGAGGCAGAGACATAGGCGGAGGAGAAGCAGGCTCCATGCACCGGGAGCCCGACGTGGGACTCGATCCCGGGTCTCCAGGATCGCGCCCTGGGCCAAAGGCAGGCGCCAAACTGCTGCGCCACCCAGGGATCCCCCAATATGTATTCCTATCAGCAATATATGATAGTGTCTGTTTTACCTTCCTCACTAACAATGTTTTTGTTATATTTTAAATATAATATTTTTTTTGCCAGTCTAATAGGTGAGAAATGGTATCTTGGTGTTGTTTTAACTTGCACTTTGTCTAATTATGTATGAATTTGAACATTTTTATATTTTGGAGGGCAATTTTAATATTTTTTGTGTGTATGTGAATTTTCTGTTCATGACTTTTTTCTGCTCTCAATCTGGTTTTTATATTTTTTTCTTTAAGGGTTCTTTATAGTAGTCTCCCCTTATCTGTGGGGAGTACATTCCAAAACCACCAGTGGATGCCTGAAACTGGATAGTACCAAACCCTATATATTCTATGTTTTTTCCTACATGTACATACCTATGATAAAGTTTAATTTATAAATTAGGCTCATTAAAAGGTTAACAACAATAATAAAGGAGAACAATTATAACACTATTCTGTAATAAAAGTTATGTGAATATGGTCTCTTTCTCTCTCTCTTAAAATATCTTATATGTTACTCACCTTTCTTCCTGTGGTGATGTAGATGATAAAATACCCATGTGATGAGATGAAGTTGTGATGAATTGTACAATTGTTCTCTGCAGTGTATTTCAAAAGTAAAAATGTGTTTCTTTGCATTATAGTACCGAACATGGTGTCTTGTAATTATGTCTCCCTGACTAGATTCAGAGTACTCATAGAATGTGAATTAGGTTTTATTCTTCTTTCTCCTTAGTGCCTACCAGAGTTCTTCATATATAATTATTCTCTAAATGGTGTTGAATAGGTTAGAAGCAAAAATAGCTCATTAAACTTTTTTTCCTAATTAAAATTTTATTTAATAAAATCTTGGTATAGTGTTTCACTTAGAGAATGAACAGTCATATCAAAGTTTCGAAGGAGCACTGGCCAGGGAAGTAGAAGAGGTCTGAGTTCTGGTCTAAAACTTTGTTTATGTAGGCCATGAATAATATTTTCGCTTCAGATATCTTTGGATATGAGTTTGATCTGTCAAATCAAGTTGACCCTTTGATCTTTTAATACTATTTCATATCTAAAATGATTTTACAGAATTATTTCTTAGTCAATTGAGGTCTGTATTTTTACATTCTGCGTAAATACTTTTTTTGGATTTTTGCTTTTTTAGAATTGTTACCTGTTACAATTAGTAGATACTCATGTGATTGTAGATCACTTTGCAGAGCACATTCTGACTGCAAATAGATTAGTATGTTACAGAATATTTGTAAGAATATTGGTGAGATTATACAACTTTTTTAACTAAATTATTTAATATGTGCTTAACACATTTTACTTTTAGGTATGTCTGACTGCAGCAATGATACTACAACTCTTGGTGCATCTAAACCAGGCACAGAAGAAGTCAAGTATAATTCTGAGGTGATTGGGTGGTATTTCTATGTATTTCTATGAAATCAGCCCACTTCAATCAAAGTTTAGACTGCCAGACTGACTCAGTTGATCTAAACATGTGCCATTCTGAGTAAGTTCTTTTATACACATAGACACAGGAAAGGAATGAGAAGAGAGATTTCTTCATAATGGGAAGTAAGTTACTCTTTGCCTTTGGGCATCTGCAATTCTAAAATACATTTGTCACATAAAGATGGATGTAAAAGTTGGGGTCAAGCTATAGCTTTTAATTTAAACATGAAATGAGGTTTCTGTTGAAATAGTACAGTAATAGGTTCATATTTGAGCTTGTGTCTCCCTATATACTGCATTTAGGTATGCATCAGAATCCAAGTGTAGAGTTTAAAAAAAAAAAAAACCTGAGTTCTGGACTTTGCTTTTGACTCACTAAATCTGAAGCTGCAGTGATAGGCACTGGACCATGTAGAGATTTGTTTTTTCCTTCCTTCCTCCCTTCCTCCCTTATTTCCTCCCTCCCTCCCTCCCTCCCTCCCTTTCCTTTCCTTCTTCCTTCTTTTTCTTTTTTTTTTTTTTCAAAGTTCTGCAAGTGGTTCTAACCACTTCTTTGATGGTTCTATGAACCCCTAGTTCATTAAAGAGTAAGATATGAAAAAATTAATTTTCTATGAAATTCAAGTTTTCAGAGGCACCTGGGTGGCTCAGTGGTTGAGCATCTGCTTTTGGCTCAGGTCATGATCCCAGGGTCCTGGGATTGAGTTCCCCATCAGGCTCCCTGCTGGAGCCTACTTCTGCCTATGTCACTGCCTCTCTTTGTGTTTCTTGTGAATAAATAACCAAAAAATTTAAAATAAATTAAAATAAATAAATAAATTCAAGTTATCAGATGTTTTTGAATACCCAATACTAGTAAAACCTCTCATTTTTATAGTGCTTAATAATTTACAGAGTAGCACTTTCATATTGTTCCTCTTTGAATCTTAGAACAATTTGGTATCATTCAGCAACTGTTATTTTCCCCATTATTTGTTGAACATACTTAACTTTTAGAGATAGTGACTGACTTAGAGGAATTGGCAAGGCTGGAACACCACGTGGGGTCTTCTGACTCCTGCTGCAGTGTTTCTGAACCAGGTTGCTGTCAATACATATGCACAGTGCCAGGCGCAGTATTTCTTCGACTAAACCAAGACCCTGTGAATCTGTGTGAAAGCTTTAATGTGGGATTTAGAGCTAGATAATTTAATTTTAGTCCAAAAGTCAAAGGTGAGTTCTGGTTGACAAAATATGTATTACCTGTAGAGGAGTCAGGATTCTTTGTGATTTAAAATATTTTGATTATTTGCTATTTGTCAAAGCATTATTTTAATTATAGTCGTTCAGAGAAGCAGGGAATTATGTGTACTGTATTTATCTTTACTCATGGGTTTGTTTTTTTATGATCAGATTCCTGAATCTGTACTATTGACAGATGATCAGAGGAAGTTTGATGCATGTGTGCTACAGGAAGGATCAGCAGCCAAGGCAATTATAAGATTCATAATAAATGAAAGTATTGTGTTTGTGGTTTACCACTGTGAGTTCTGGCTATGTGAATGTCACATAGATGCTAAACAAGAAATTTCTTTTTTTTTTTTTTTTAAGATTTTATTTATTTATTCTCAAGAGACACACAGAGAGGAAGAGACACAGACAGAGGGAGAAGCAGGCTCCATGCAGGGAGCCTGACGTGGGACTCGATCCTGGGACTCCAGGATCACGCCCTGGGCCAAAGGCAGGCACTAAACCGCTGAGCCACCCAGGGATTCCCCCCTAAACAAGAAAATTCTTGCTTAATAGAGAGTTAAACCTGAGTGGTGATGATTTTCAAGGAAACCACTGCCAAGTAATCATTGTGAAAATTTCTATGTATATTAACATTAAAATACATGTT